CTGGCGATGGCTGCAGGGGGTGCTCCGTCCCACCGCCCCCGCAAGCAGGCAGCTGGGGTCCGACCTCTCCCACAACGGTCTCCAGAGAAGGTAGCACCTTTCCTTGGTTTGCCTTGCCCACCAAATCCTCGCCCACCTTCCACTCCAGCCCCTCTGCCTGGGTGCAAGCCCCCACAGCCGGGGAAGCCAGGGCTCAGCTTTGATTCCCAAGTTTGAGCAGGGATGGGGGGAACTGCCTGTCCTGCAGCTTCACTGACAGGCACCCACAAATAAAGGGGAAATAGGGACCAAACTACATTGTAAAGGACATCGCCCACTCCAGCTGCAGCACCAGCTCATTCCCTTCGTGCCTCACGTCCTGATACAGCCCTTGGGAAGGGGCTGGGCTGCCCGAGGCCCCGCTGTGGGCACCCTGCGCAAAGAGCCACTGGCTTTCTGCGGCACCCCTCATTCGAGGATCTCAAAGCACTTTACAGATGTTAGCCAAGGAAGCCTCACAACCACCCCTGTGAGGTAGAGCAATATTATTATCCCCGTTTTACAGATGGGGAAACTGAGGCATGGAGCAGCAGGGCGACTTGCCCAAGGTCACCCAGTGGGCCGGTGGCCGGCCCGGGAGCGAGCTGGTGCAGCCCCAGCCTGGCTCCCCTTGCCAGGGCTTGACTGTGCTCCCTCCCTGCATCGCGGATGGAGCGCCACAGTTTTCCTCGAATGAAAGGGAAACGCCATCGGCCATTTTCCCACTGGAGTCCGATATAAAAAATATCCGCGTTAACGAGTCGAGCCTTGGCAAGCCAGCATCGAAAGCATCACTGCTCTGAGTGCCGAACTTTACAGGGAGGGGAGGACAAGTAAGAGCAGCAGCAGCACAACCCCACGGAGTGCCCCCCGAGAAGGCTGGCTGGGGGGGGCGAAGCCCCCTGCTGCCCCCGGGGGACAGCCCTGCACAGGGGCAAAGCGAGCGTGAAACATGGAGCTTCATCCCGCCGTGCTCCTGCCGCGGGCCAGCAGTGGCCCCCGGGACACGGCCAGCCCTGGCTGCTGGTCCCCCAGCCCTGCCATGGGAGGAACCATGGCACCTCGGGGTCAGCCTGCCCCACGGGAGCAGGGCGCCCAGCCCCTGCTGGGGGGAGACGACAGCCCTGACAGCAACGGGCCTTTCACCGGTTTGGCTCCCAAGTGTGCTTAACAGGAGAGCTGAAGCCAAGCCCCGTCACTCCAGCCCTGCTTCCTCCCTTCCTCCTCTGCCGGACCCCTGAAAAACGCAGCGAAGGCAGGAGCCTCCATCCCTACGGCAAGCGTCGTGCATCCTTGCTCTGCTCCCCAAACCTTCTGCATGAGGCGGGCAGCTCCTGCCCGCCCCCGGTCAGCATCAAGACACCCCAAGTTCCTCGCA